AGCAGGGTCCCCGGGCGGCGCACGGCGAACTCCCGCCGTTGGCCCATACGCGCCGGGACCCTCGCCGCTTCTCACACGGTTCCGGCCTCTACACGCTCCAAACCCCCATTCGAAAGAGAATGAGAAGAAAAACGTGTCCCGCACTTGGGGAAGGGCCGCCCCGGCGACCCGCGGTCTGAACCCCCTGGAAAACTTGGGGCGAGCTGGCTCCTCCCTCACTCGGTCGCACCCGCCTCCCCCCACCCGCCTGCCTTCGTCCAAGGCCGGCCCGGAGCCCTGACGGGTGGTGCGGATCTGCGTTCTCTGTGCCCAAAACTCCCGCTCAGAAGCGACACCTGTGGCGGAGCGGGAGGCGCCGCCACCAGCCCTGGGTCGTTAAAGGTGAAGATGGAGGCCAAAGCCTTCGGGAGCAAGACTGGAATTTTAAATGGGCGCCGCCATTCAGTCTCGGCTGCAGCGGGTCTTAAAGCTACTGTAAGACCGTGGAAATTTCAGTGGCCGGCGGGATGGCCAGTGAAGTGAGGGCGCCGTCACCTCACCGCCTCCGGCCAGACACGTTGGGGGAACCCACTGGAGCCCCAGGTCGCTGCCAGAGACCCCCAGGATCTGCCTGACTTGCGAAGTCAAAAGCAGAGGGGGAGGGGGCCCGGTAGCACTAGCCCCTCTGGTCCTGGCTGAGCCCCTGAGCCCCGTCCGGGCCACACTGACATCGTCAGTAGGGGTCTCCCTTTCCTGGGGCCTTTGGGGAACCAAGGGAGCTGTGCCTGTTCTTGGAGAGCACCCTAGTCTATGCAGGATCTCTTAGGGAGGTGGCCATGACCCAAGCCACGGTGAGTATAAGCTGTGTCCAAGCTGTGACCAGAAGGAGATGGATAGCCTGGGGACAGCTAGAAAGATGTCCAGCCGATTTTCCCTCCCCTTTTCCATCCAAATTAATTCCGGAGACACCCGAACAAAAGCTCCTCCTCATTCATTCTGGGCAGGGCCAGGTCTGTGCAGCCCCCTGGGTCACAGTGCAGGGACCTGGGAATCCCTTCTCCTCCCAGGTCCCTTTAAACCACACTAGAGAGATGTCGGATGAGCCCAGTGCAAGGGCAAAGGGAAAGGCGGCAGGGGGGCGGGCTGGGACAGCAAAGGGCCGCTGGTGGCCCAGAGCTGTATTTCACATCTCTGGCGTCTAGCCGAGGGGGCTCTGAACCATGGATGCTCCAGCAAGCTGCACTTTCCCGACAAGGCTTTCCCCGACAAGGCTGCCTTGCCCTTTCAAGACCTGTTAACCATCCAGGGGGAAAAAAAAAAACCCTAAGTGTTGCCAAATGTGCCCCCCCACCCAGTCTCCAGCCCCAGCCCAAGCCCCGCCAGCTGGCAGGATGAGGCCAGGACACTCACTCAGGTCCCCTGTTCCACTTTAGAGAAATTGCCTCGCAGTATTTGCCATCATCAGAAAGCCCCCCCCACACACACACGCACACGTATGCACACACGCACACACACACACACACACACACCCCATTAACCTTGGCTCCGATTCCCAAGGCCGGGCTGAGAAAGTCAAGCCATCGTTTAAGAATGAACAGTTCCAACTGCTTCATTTGGCAAAAATTAAGAGTTGATGCTCATCGCTCGTGACCCGCTCCCCATCCTGGTCTCGCCGAGCGCTGCGGCCAGCGGCCAGGTAACAGCTTAAGGACCAAAAGCAAAACAAAACGTGGAATGGCAGAGACAAATGGACTTCTGACTGGAAATCTGTAACATTTAAAAGAGAGCTCTTATTATCACTGAACTATAGCTGTGCATTTTATTGACAATGGGTCAAAAATGCCTGATGTGAAAAGCCATCCCTAAAAAAAGCGAAAATGCAATAAACTCTGCAATTCCGAGAACAAGGAATTAGTAATTACGGCTACGGCTTCAGGAAAGGAGATGCTTGTATTCGTGGGTCCCAGAGCTTGTAATTACACCTCAGTAACAATTCAAAATCAAAATGTTTTCTAATACATGGGTGATAAAAGCACCACGAGAAAAATGTTTTTCCGAGAGCAGAGCTGCAACGGCTAATACCTCGGACACGTACCCTACTCAGCCCGAGTCCCCTATGGGCCCCCCAAGTCCTACCGGGACCCTCCCTTTAGCAGCATATTCCACCGTGGCCACCTGATGGCTCCGTGACACCAGGCCTCTGAAGGGCAGGGAGGTGCTCGTTCCTGCACCCCTCACAGTCAGCACACAGCTCACAGTTCCGACCCAGCCTCGTCAAAAGCAGGTGAGACTGTCGCTGGCGGGATGAGGGGTGAAATGAAGGCTGAGCACCCCTGCGTATCAACTTCACCTTTACTGAAGACCACTTCTCAAGGGGGAGCCTGGCCCCACCGGAATTCAAATTACTTGGGGTTGCAGGGGAGGGAAAGGGGGCTTCTCAGAAAGGCATATCCTGGTGGTGGGCCCTGAACCCGAGGAAGTACTGTGTAAGCCTTATGTTAAAGCATCCTAGGAGTCAGCGCTGGCAGCAGCTAAGCCACCCAGCCGACCAGCACAGCCTTTAAGCTGTTTCGGCTTGGCCTGAAATAGCCTAGAAAAAAGAACGTGGATTCTCAAATCCTCCCAAAGGTGAGAAAAGTGTTTGGATTGCAAAACCTTAGGTTTTAGTTTCTGGGGTCGACAGGCTTCACTGACAAGGCAGAGTTCCCCTGCTTTCTCCAGCAGACCAGGCTGCTTGCTCTACCTTCCAGAAGGAAGCCACCGCCAAGCCTAGGACCCCAGAGAAGAGTCAGCCACAGGTGGCCTATGACCCCAGCCAGCCCTGTGCTGTCCAAGGTCCCCACGGGGAGGTTTGTCCCCTCGGCACTGCCAAATCTGTAGTTTCGTGTCAGGGCCCCACGGACTAAGTATGTGCCCCCCCTCCACAGGGAGGGGTCAGCACCCAGCTGTGTCTCCAACACTTGGGGTGAATCATGAGGACCACGTTGGCAACAAGTGGGCCACCAAAGTCACCTTTCAGGCTCTCTCCTGAAGTTATCAGTGACTTGACAGGGGACCATCATGGCCTCACTGGGGTCCTGCTCACCTTCCAAGAAAGTGTCCCCTTAAAATTAAAAGGCTGAGGTCTGAACACCGCAGGACATTCTGTAATTTTGACCAATTTTCTTAAAAATACTTATGATTGAATCCCTCCCCGCCCCGTTTCTGACACAGATGTTTCTGCACACCCCCGTGCTAGGCACCGCTGGTGACCAGTTCAGACCTGTGTATTTCAACGCTTGGCTCTTCCTGGAGAGCTCCTAGGTACCACCACTCAGAACAGCACCTGTACGACTAAGTCACAGGAAGGGGGCCACCGAGGCTTTCGAAAGGAAAACTATTAAACCTGCAGATGAGAGATGGCAGATGTATCGGCAAGTGGAGTCGGCTGAGGATGAGACCAACTTCCCACTTTGCTTCTGATCTTAAATCTCAGCCTGAAACTCCCCATGACTCAATGTGTTCCTGTGCCTTGAATGTTTCCGATCAGGCAGTTGAGGCATGAGGTATAAAGGAAATTGGTCGAGAATGTGGTTCAGGCACGGCTGGTATAATAATGGGTGTAATGTAATTCGGTTGATACTGTGTCTCCCCTCTTAGAAAAAGTTATTTGTTTGCAAAGATCTGAAGAAATTCTACATGGAGAGCTGTTCTGTCACCTGCAAAATCTCGCTGAGGCACAGCTACGGTGGGAAAAATGGGAACTAAGGGTATCGTCTTCTCAAGCTTAATGAAGACCAAGGTCATTGTCAGTACAGCACTTAATCACTGAGGACAAACAACACAACTTTCACTGCTACACAGACTGACATGCCAATCCTTTAAAAAAAAAAAAAAAAAAAAGCCTTGCACAGTAACAGTAGCCATGTGTTAGCCACTTTAATATAAAATGTGATCAAAACTCAATTACAAGAGCTCAAAAAGACATAGAAAAACCAGTAAGTTTCCATTTTATTACAAGTTTTAAAATCTGGGAGTGGTTTAAAGAAACTTAGATGCTAATTCCAACCCAGGGTTAAAACTGTACAACCACACTAGGAATTTAAGAATTATCACAGGGAAACATCAATGCGACAAGCAAGTCAAATTTGCAAACTCAAGACATAAACTTACTCACAAACTTAGTCAGGTAAGGGGCAGTGCCCGAGAGCAAGTGATGCCTCTGTTGAATTGGAAAGAAACCCTGCCTCCTGTGAGGGCAGAGAAACGTGCAAACAATTCTGCTTCGGGAAATTTGCATAGAAATAGAAAATGCTAGAGCCTTTGGCACAAATGAAATTGCAAAGCCTCAACACATTAAATTCAACCCAAGCAGCACCAAATGTTGAGTTGGAGCCAACATAGGATTCGAACATCTAATTTCCAGCTATGCAACTGGCAGACGCAAGAATCTCAGGTGTGGAAATTAGCTGTAGGCAAGCTCTTTAAAACACGGATTTTATACACCATCATTATAAACAATGCAGACACTTCTGCAGAATTGTTTAAAGGATTTTACAAGGGCACCATAAGGCATCAGGGTCTCTTTCCAAAGTCACCTGCAAACATTCTTGATTTTCTGTCAGCGACGATTACATCTTTATAGCCTCTTAGGTAACCCTCCGCAGACCTCTAGACTCTGCACCCGAATCGTCGTGTTTTCTGTCCTGATATCATGCAGGAACACTTGCCATTTCGGCCTGCTTAACGTCAGTTTGTAGAATGACTTGATGTTAAATCTAGTCACGGTCTAAGTGGCATGGAAGCGACTAGTTCCTGGGCATCTCAACATTTCTTTCAGCCTGAACTGTCTGTCTCCTAACCGCTTGGCCTTTGTGTCTTGCCCCCATGAAGACTCAGCTCTGGGCAGCAAAGAATTCCCACCCAGGACACACGCAGGTGCTGACAGCTGGAAACTCTATTGCCCGTCTCTAGCTCCCCCTGCTGGCGGCCAAAGGGACAGTGAGTCGCAAAGACGCGGAGAAACCACCATTATTTACAAATTCATTTTTGGCACTTTATTTAAATTTAAAACCTGGGACTTTTAGTCACTCTCCAAACCCTTTCCTGGGTGGGGGGCAGCAGAATATGCAGCAACGCCAAAGGACCACAGTTTATTTCTAGAGGAAGAAAACAGATCAACATACATAATTATGGGCATCAAGAGTACTGTCATCAAAAAACGAAAAGACAAATGCCCCGGGACCCTGCATCTTTATCAGCGCTGCCCCTTCCCCACAAAGGGAACCTCAGAAGGAAGTCGCCGGTTTTGCTCCCACTAGGAGTCCCCACATTTATACTCCTGAATCTGGGAAAAGCACCGTACGAAACTGTCACTTTTTGATAGTGAAACGGTGACTGACTGCAGCTCACATTTCCACACCCTCATCCACCTGCTCAATGTCAAAGTGTCGTCGGTTCCCTTACAGGAGACTTACTCTTCTAGTTTGGTACGACTACCTCGAGAACTGACGTTTTCAAGCCAGAAAGGAAAGTCTAATTACAGAGAAGTGAGTGGCAGCCCAAGTGAAGCCCTTTTACTACGATTGCCAATTTTCTGTTCAATCCACACTGCAGAGATACAAGGAAAACCACCGATTTGGTTCCCAAGTTTTATTCAAGGGACTCGTACAAATTATTGCAGATAAAGCGAACTTTAATCCTCATCTTCCTCCTCCTCTTCGTCCTGGTTAATCTGGAAGTAACGCAATTCGTAACTCTCTTTGCTGTTAGCAACTACGCGCAACCAATCACGTAGATTATTCTTCTTCAAATACTTTTTGGTGAGATATTTCAAATACCTGCAGAGAGAGAACACTTGAGAACTCCGCTGGACACCCGGCCTGCTTGCGTTCTGAAACTCTGTAACTTTGACGAAAAACCCGTGTTCAAAATCGTTACCATTCAAGGCGTTTTCTCACCTTTCAAAAATGGCAAAGATAAGGCAAATACACCCGGCCAGTGATCTAACAAGAATGAGTAGCCACGTTTCATCTAAACTGGCAATAAAAATGAGGACAGGTAAGAAGATCTAAGAGTCGTCTACGAAACAATAGCGAACACCTGAAAGATGGTTTTCAGTGACATTCGGAGAAAGATAGGGCGGTCACTGGACAATCAAGCACACAGCCAAGCACACAGCCACCACTTCGTGGAGAAGCCACTGGGTTCCCGGGGGCCTCCGGTGCCCGCTCCTCGTCACCTCACCGACTCAGACCTCCTTTAGAGGCTGCTCAGGTTACGGGCACTGCCTCTTAGGGCTGTGTCACACACACTCGCTCCTGCGGTGTGACACGCACTGCCCAACGCTAGGACAGGGTACCACCCCGCCCCTGCTCCAGCTCTGCGGTCAGAGCACCTTTCTCCTGGTGTTGATCTACGCCGGCATCTTCCCGAGCCATCAAGAGAAAAGGGCACAGAGCGCCGAGGAAACCGGCTGCTGGGCCGAGTGGCCTTCCCGAACCTCTGCGACCGGGGCTCTGATACTTACCTCTTCCGACTGAGGGTAAAGGAGCCACACGGGCAGACTAGCATGTGAGGAAAGACCCAACTGATAAGGATCAACACAGTCACGCCTCTAAGAAATGAATAATACTGTTCAACGGTGTTACTTACGCCAACAAAGCAATCTTCACAAAGATGTGAAGACCTCTGTTCAATTCTATCCACTTTTCCCTACGTAAAAATAAATCAATCTGGTCGTTCCATCTAAAAAAGTATTGTTTTTCTTTCATTTATTATTTCTGTCATATCGTATTTGGGTGAGGTGGATAATTCCAACGTTCAGGGAGTTTGAAACTTTTCATAATAGAAAGTAGAGGGGAAGCTAGGTGAAAAGCGGAGAAGTTCAGAAACCAGCAAGAGAAGGTTCTAGATTAGGAACCCCTTGAATGTTTTATTTTCTTGAAACTACTACCATCAAGACAGGAAAGTTTTAATGGAAGATGAAGGTTCCTTTCTTCCTCCACTGGGTGAAGAACAGAACATTTGTGCGAACTGAAGTAAACGGCATCAGAGGACACCCTCGCACCAGGCTGGTAAACGCGGAAAGAGGTCGCAGAAGGTTATAGAACCTTTCCCGGGAGCTCCGCGAGGCCCAGCGAGTTGGTCGTCTGGTACGCCCTGGGGTCCCTCCCTACAGTCACAGAGATCAAATCGCCTTCTGCACAAATAAAATAACTCAGCCAGGTGGAATGAGACCTTCACTTAAGCTTTCAAGTCATCTCTTGATTGATCTCATTAAAAATAAAAGCAAAGCCTTAACTATAAGTTTGTCCTGACACACCTTCTTATTTTCCACTACTTGATTCAGTTTGATTAAAAGCCCCAAGAACACCCCAGGCTCTGGGCAAGCTAGGTATAAATGTGCCCAATTCTTTAGTGACTTGGAAAGTGCTTTAAGCTGATCCTCAAAAGAAAAACTGTATAATACATCACTGTAGGTGAACTGATGTCTCTGCCTCAGGAAAAAAACTGGACCCCCGGGAATTAAATGGAATGGCTTCGGTTTCGATTGAAATTTCCGATTCCTCATAATCAGAGTAACACTTACAGAGAAAAGAAATACAGAGTTAAAAATGAAAGCTCTTCAGTGTGATCTAGAGGCGGAAGCAGCGGTATCTTCATTTTTAAGAATGCAGTCTAAGCAAGTCTGAGCATCTTTACTGCTTGAAATACTTTAGCCTGTGAAAACAAATTTTTTAAAACTACCAGAAGTTGAATACTTTTAACTACCACAACCACATTCGCTCGATCGTTCATTCACTGCGCCCTGGATGAGGGTGGGAATCTTAGCGCTTGGATGCGGGCGAGGGACACTCATCACACGTCCCCCATACCTTTTGGAAAAAGGCACCTCGGAAGTTACAGTGATCTTGCTCTTGCTCCTTTCAATGGTGACAACCCCGCCACCGAGATTCCCAGCCTTTCCATTCACTTTGATTCTCTCCTGAAGAAACTGCTCCTGTAAAAATCATCAAATTGACCCATTAGTGAAGTAGCGAGTCCACTCACCTCACCAGAATATTTTTCCTACTCCTTACACTGAACAAATATAGTTTTTCAAATGTTCGATCTTTTAAAAAAATGATAGATCTTTAGCTATTGATGTAAGTCTGAAATCTAGGAATAGCAATTAGAAAAAGGCACCATTCAACTCTAAAATCCTAGCACGAACATACTTGACTGCACCACGCAGGTCAAATGTGCCTCTACGTGGAAGGTTTTGACTCGTGGGTCAAAGGTAAGTAGAGTAGACAGGAAACCCTAAGCTAAACAGCCATAAGCTTGGTACAGGTAACCGAGGTTGCAAGCAACTTCTGAAGCTAAGAAGTACAAAGCCCTGTCCTCGGTACCATCAGAGAAAGTCAGTCTTCAACCAAGTAGGAGGAGCAAAAACAGTGACCAAAACAATCATAGATCTGCTCAGGGGCCACGTGCATGGTACAGAAGGGGCCGCAGCCCAGGGGCCCAGAGGAGGACTCTCGGCAAAGCCCTGTGGCAGCCTGGGCTGCTCACTCGCCTCTGTGGACTTCAGGAGTCTTTGTCCAAAAAAAGAAAGACACTTTCTAGTTTTCTTTCTATTGCAAAGATGAGGTCTCTTTCAGCTCCAAAACTCCTACAATCCTCTATTAAAAACCTCCCATGCGCACACAGCATGCTCACTGACAATGAGAAGTCGCCAGGTCCGAACGCTTGGCTTTTGCACCTGAGACTCGTAAGTGACTCAGGTTTTCTATCCTAAGGAAACTTCTAGAAGGAAAGACGACCACATATGCATATGAGCATGGAGGAAGGGAGGAGGGAATAATGGACAGAGCCCCCACAGACACAAACTGGGAGAAGCCACAAAGCTTAGGAGGGAAAGAAGCCACAGAGGAAAAGCGAGAAGTCACTGGACAGAGAAGGAACTATGGAGCCAAGAGAGAGACTTCTTACAGGACAGGGACACAAAAGGCGTCTCCACAAGGGCACAGAACTACAAGAGGTCATCCGAATTCCATTCTGTGTAACCGGGGCCCAAAGGCCAAACTTTTAACTTTTCTTTTTTTTTTTTGAAAATTATTCCTGTTGGACTGTTACCTTGGCAACAGTCGACCTTCTGGAGTCTGAGAACAAATGTAAATTTAGAAGTTTCTGCCCAAGAAGCTCAAATTCCCCAAGTGTGATTATCGAAGAGGAAAATGCCAAACCAAGGTGCAGAGTCAAAATGTGGCAACGAGGCTGACTTCCTAGAGTTGAGTAGAGGAACGTTGGGGAACGAGCCAAATGCAGGGACAAAAAAACTCAGTACAGAGCAAGGTCTGAAAAAAACCAAGCTCCAAAAGTCAGCATGTAGGATTTTTAACACCAACACTGACACTCTGAGGCTAGTAACACGGAAAGCCTGAGGACATGCTGCCATCTGCCCAGTGCCCCAGATCCCAGCAGTCGGGCCCAGCTCGGGGACAGCCCCTTGCCCATGAGGATAAGGGCCATCGCTCATGTTTAAGCACAGCGACGTGCACGGGGAAGCTGGACCCGAGGCTGTTTGCCTGTTTCCTGGTAACTTTTAAGTAAGACTATTTTTGGACGCCGATGGAGGAAAAGCAAGTTTTCCAGCACTGATGTGCTAGGGCCCAACTCGTTTATTCCTCATGACTGTTACACGAGAGAAGGCTGAGGCACAAGAGACTAGAACACACTCCAGAGTTCCCACGCCGAGCCAGAACCGCAGAGCTGCCTACGCGCCGGAAGTAGAAACATGCTCCACTACATTTTCCCAGCGACATCTCCAAAGGTTCATTACCGCCCCGACCGGCATCGCGGGTATAACTTACAAAATTGGCGGCATCCATGATTCCATCTTCTACAGGATGAGTGCAGTCAAGGGTAAACTTCAGAACCTGCTTCTTTTTTTTGCCCCCCTTCGCCACAAGCTTTTTCTAAGAAAGTATACAAACAGAGATGAAGGCACAACCAGTCGCGCTCCCCACCCCGCCCCGAAAAATTAAAAGAACTCAAAACACCAGAGGTGTAAAAGCCCATACAAATGCGAAACCCATGGAGTTGTGCTCCCTTGCAAAGGTGCCAAGAGCCATGCTCCGCCCGAGAATGGAGGTGGGATAATACCTAAGCTTTGGGGCGTGGGGGTCACAGCCTTCTGGAAGGGAATCAGGGGAAATCATTCTGGCACTTTTGAACCATTTACACCGTCTTGCCTCCTCGATCTGTACAGGCATGGAGGTCCGTTAGTTTACGAACCACAGTAAACTTTTCCTTTTGCCATCAAATTTCCAAAAACTAAAGTTTCAAGAAATACTCCTTTTATTCCAGGACTCAGTCACAGGCATACGAATGCCTTGCATACCTAAAACAATTTTAATGTGAAATCAATACTTGTCCTAACTTTCCAGACTAAGGTCCTGATCCAGTCTAGCAATCCTCCCTTAATTCGGTCCCACGTCCCCTCACGAGCACAGTGACCTTAACTGAACATCCATCCCAGCAGCACATCCACCCAGCCAGGACAAGGGTAAGGCCAAAACTTAGGTTTTAACTGCAACACTACCGTCAACAATTTCTGGCCTTTTTGACTAATTTAGTCTATGAATTAGCACTTTCAAACCATCAGCTGCCATACATCCTACAAGGGTCTAGCTCCTTTACTCTCACAAAGCTTAATCTTCTCCCTCTACAAACTCTAACACCATTACAAAAGCATCTGTACAACCTACTTAACTGCACTTCTGCTCTAAAAAGCTTTGCAGGAGCTAAAAAGACCTTTCCGAGAACACATCTTACCGCCCCCTTCATGTTTAAAAGAACTTCATCTAAAACATATTAACTCGGTCGACTTTTCAAACATTTCGCTACTGCAAAAATCATTGATTTTTTTTCGTTTCATCTCTTCCTAGTTACAAGCAGAAGGGCAGCTTTAAGATCTAGCACCGGAAATATACAATCGGCAAGTAAAAGACCTGCCCACAACGGGCTCCATACCTCCCATCATGGTTTTAAACCAAAATGATACAAATGCACAGAAGCATTAAGAGCCCACCCAAGGAGAAAGAGTAGGTGAACCGAAAACGTTAACACCAGTGTCCCAACAAAAGGGGAGGGTAGGAAACTCAGTTTTCCCTAGTAACGTGGGATGCTGGCAGACTGACACGAGGACGCCGCACGGCCGAGTCCCAGCCCGGCTGAGACGAGAGCCCAACACCAAGAAGGTGCTGTACGGCGGCGCCCTGAGGGGCTGACTTTCTACAGAGACGCTACAGGGGTCCTCACACTCTGGCCTCTCCCTGAAATCAAACATGCCAGGCCACCTTCCACTCGTCCCCGAGTCCCGGCCATAGGCTTCCCGGATGCTCAGGTCCCAAGGATGGCAGGTTCCCTTCTCCTTCCCCGCCCTCCGCCCAGGTAACCAGGCCCGGACCCTGGCTGCCTCACGCCGGCCGGGCTCCAAGGACCGCTGACCTGCCCAGGCCGCAGCCTCGGCACTGCAGCTCCCTGCTGGCCGCAGGCAGAGGCCCGATCCCGATCTGCTCTGTGAGCCCGGCGGCGGCCCTGGCCCGATCCGGCCAGCCTGCCAGCCCAGCCCCGGGCGGACGCTGCAGAGCGCCGTCCCGCGCGAGCCCGGCAGGAGCCGGGCCAGCGAGGCCCACGTGCCCGTCCCGGAGCCGAGGCCTCACGCGGAGCCATACTAACCACAGGCGCCATGGCGGCAGCGGAGGCAGAAAGGGAGTTGAGTGAGCCCGGCGGCGGCCCTGGCCCGATCCGGCCAGCCTGCCAGCCCAGCCCCGGGCGGACGCTGCAGAGCGCCGTCCCGCGCGAGCCCGGCAGGAGCCGGGCCAGCGAGGCCCACGTGCCCGTCCCGGAGCCGAGGCCTCACGCGGAGCCATACTAACCACAGGCGCCATGGCGGCAGCGGAGGCAGAAAGGGAGTTGAGCGAACTGCGCAGACGCAAAGAGGCCGCAGCGCACAGAGCTCACAGGGCTCAGGCCGAGCCAATCGCTCGGCCACGCCCCTCTGGCGCCACCGTCTCGCCCGGGGCTGCACGATCGGGGAGCGATTGCTTTTCCCTGCTTGCAAGACCTGCGCTCTCGCAGGCCTGGGGCGGAAGAGGCAGGAAAGAGGCGGGTGGTCTGTCTCACCCAGAAGGATCGGAGTAGGGGAGCCAGAGCGGATTTGCTCAAAGAGAAATAAAGAGTTTCGCTCTACTTTTGAAAGGCTTGGAAAGAAAAAGAGGGAAATTCACTAAACTTTAAATTGCCAGCTAATAGGATGAGAGTCAAACCCACGAACTTGGGGTAGGTGAGGCCTTCTGGCCCTGGGATGGCAATGCCGGAGAGTACTTTGGCTTCTTCCTACCGAATAGTCTGGAAGCTGGTGCCCAGGGGCTGTGTCTCGCAGCCGTTGCCCTTGCCGCAGTGAGGTACACTCCAATTTGACCCCTTCGCACAATCTCAAGTTCAAGCCGCCCACCCACCGATCACCATTTCCTGCCTTTCCAGCTCACGCCTTCTGGTTTCCCAGTTCTGCCCGTGCTTCTCAAACTGGCTGGTAGACAGGAGTCTCCTGGGGATCCTATTAAAATGCAGATGTCTAGTCACTGGGCCTCGGTGGCTTGAGACCGTGAATATCTCACAAGCTCCCAAGAGATGCTGCAGCTGGTCCATGGACCACAGCTGAGTAGCAAGGGTCTTCTTCCCCAGGCCTAACACTCCATTGACTGTGACCGGAAAAAAAATTCAGAGATGTTCCAAATTAAATTCACAGCGGCTGGAAAGAGAAAGAAGAGTTACCCTGTTAATGCCTGCGGACCAGTTGTGACAAGACTGCTCCCCTTCCCCTCTATCGCTTGGAATTTAGGATTAATTTTCAGGGGGCTATTTCTCTGGTCTAGAACCCCAGGAGCCCCTGCTTCTTATTCACACATGAACTTTCCCATCTGCTGCCCATCGCTAACCCACAGGAGCAAACATTTCTTCCTTTCCCACCCTGCAGAACTAGCCCCGCTTCAGCTTCTCCCACCCCCTGTGTCTATAGCTAATGTAAATCCTTTCAGAAGGGCTTACATCTTCCTCCTCGCTACCTGATGTATAAAAATGCTTGCAAAACTCCCAGAGCTGGTGGTTTAGCCTCCAGGCCCCAAGAGGGGTCTTCTTTATTTCTAGCAATAGCCTAATAAACCTTTTCTTTTAAAGAGATCTTCAGCTGTGAAAGGTCAAAGTTTTTGTTTAATAACTGGAATGTTTTTCATCCACCGTCACCCTCCCGTCCTTACCAATTAGATGCCAGGGTCCTGCATTATAATCACTCAGTTGCTTAGACCCTGCACTCCCTTTACCTGGCTGCCATGTACTCACCTAGCCAAGGACCAATCCGGGCTTACCACGGTCGGAAGAAACACACCACGCTGACAGGTCTAGTTTTAAACTCAGGCTTCCTGTGCCAGTTATAGTCCACCCTGCAATTCTTGGGTGTAAACCACGTTTCTGCTTTGCCAGCTGCTGGGTTTCAGGTTCTTCCTATGGCGGGGGTGGGGGGGGCGGGCTACACAAGAGACTACAGGCTGAAGGAGAAAGAAGAGACTTCTTCCTATTTGGTTCCTGCTTGTTTCTGTTGGTGTCACTCACTCTTGCTTCTTCATCTGGGTAGTGGCAGTTGGAACATTCCAGAAGCAGCAGTTGAATCCAGTTTGCTGTTATTCCAATATTGGTAGAACCAGCCTCCTGTTCTTTCCCACGGAGACCCCAGCAGAGCAGCCCCTCCTTGAGGGCACCCCCTCTTCAAGCTGCTACATCTTAATAACACTACTCCAGGGGTGGTCACCACTTCCGAAGTTTCTGTTTTTATTTTGCCCCTTCAGTGACCTAGTTTACAAGTCTTTATTCCTAGTTGACGATCCTTTACATTAAATTCTATGTGCAAACTAGTATGTGTTCTCCTGATACAACTCTAACCCTGAGTAAGCCCTTGGGATGCCTACCAACCCTAAAATCCTCTCCTGAGTGAGTTTCACCCTTCTGGTCCAGGTGCCAGGCCCTCCCGGCGAACCACCCTCTCAGCTGATGACTTCTGTTGCTCTCTTTGAAAATAGAGAAGCGGTCCAAAGAGAATTTACAGACACCCCTGCCTCCACATCCAAACATCCAGCATCTATACCCCCGACTCTGCCCTTCCTCCTGTTACTGTGGAAGAGTGTCCTTGACTCCATCTGAGGCGCCCGTGGACACTCAGGCATTAATCTCATACACTTCCGCCTACTTGGAACACTCCAACAGCTCTCACCCCACCCCCCCATGAAATCCTCAATGTACCTTTTTTTCTGGACCATTCTTTCACAGCTCCCATCTTAAGCCCCAACGTTTCCCTTCAGTTACTACCTCTTTTGTCTCCATCTTTTGCCAACTGCATGTTTGTGTCCCCCCTGCAATGTGATGGCGTTAGGAGGTAGGGCCTCTAGGAGGTGAGGAGGTTTAGATGACGTCACAAGGGTTGGGCCCATGATGGGACTGGTGCCCTTACGAAATGAGGAGACACAAGATCTCTTTCTACCATGTGAGGAGAGTCAGCTTGCCAGCTACAAGCCAAGAAGAAAGTCCTCACCAGAAACCAAATCTGCTGGCACCTTGATCTTGGACTGCCCGGACTCCAGAATTGTGAGAAATACACGTGTGTTGTTTAAGTCACCCAGTCTGTGATATTTTCGTTATAGCAGCCTGAACAAAGACAATCTCTCTACACCAGTTTTCTTAGAAGAATTGCCTCTGGGAGCTTTCTGCAATTTCTGTCCTCCCACCTTCTGTGGAAGCAACTCTGGTCAGGTGTTTGCCCAACAGACAGTTCTCTGCAGAGTCAAGGTCACTGGCCCCTGCTAAGCACCAAGGGCAGGTCTCCGTCCTCCTCTTCCTGCTTCCCTTAGCAGAATCTGACACCGTAGGTCCCTCCATCCTCCTTGCTGAGGCAGGGCCTTCTCCATCCTGTTGCTGCCCCCTCCTTCCTGAACTTGAAGGGCTGCAGGGCGAAGAGCTCCTCTCATCTCTATCTAAACTTGACCTTTGGCAATGACCCAGGGCGTGCCTTTAAATATGACCCCATGCCTCGACCCCAGCCTGCGCTCCTGACTCACACAGCCAATGGCCTCCTGACATCTCTAGAGTGTCAAGAAGGCCACTGTCACCTTCCTCACACCCCTCGCCCTCACTTTCAGCCCCACCCATCCCCGGTCCCTTCATCTTCACTCACACTGGTCTTCTTTTCTTTCCTCTAAATTTATTCTGGCTTCAGGGACCTTGTACTTGCTGTTCCCTCTGCTTTGAACCCTTCCTGGTTGTTCTTGTGTCTGACTTGTTCGCATCCTGCAGGGGCTCGGCTTCGGCGCCCCTCTCTGCCCACGGTTATTCACTGTGCTCCCAGCTCCACCTTCCTAGCTGCCCTCCCTCACATCATCCTGATCATTTCCTTTGGGGCATTTAACACAGTCTGCATCATTGTACTTGTGTACTTGGTTGACCTTGACTGATGTGTTCCCTTCTACGTGTATGGCCTACGGCAGATGCTCAATAAATATTACTCAAATAGATGAAGACAGGAATGGATGGATTAAATAAGCTTGAGTATCAGGAACTGTACACCCACCTCCTATTGCCCCTCCAGAGGGAACTAATGTGTCTGTCATTCACGTATCAAGCACCTGTCCAGTTTTGTATAGCAGCTCAACCACTGACCAGGGTCACATTTTCTACCTCCTAAGATTGTTGTCAGGACCAGATGAGTTAATACAAGTAGAAGAACTTGGAATAGTACTTTTGGCCCGTAGACATTAGCCATTGTTATTTTACCATGACCTGAAGCACAAATGGAACCAAGGTTAGGAAGGACCCTTAAAAGAACAGGTAGTTTCTGCCTAGAATTCACTTCTTTTCTTCCCCCTGGAGAACTCCTACACATCCTTCAAAACCCAGCTCGAATATTATCTCCTAGTTTTTTCTAACTGATTAGTTAAGACTTTGAGCACCTTCTGTGGGTCTGGCTCTGCCCTTGACTCTTTGACTTCAAGAGGGGCAGGGACAGGGGCTGTTTTCCCAGAGTTCAGGATAAGGTGTGCAAAGAAGGCAGATAATGACCTAGGGACGAAGGGCACTAGTGAAAATCGCGCTGGGATAAAGGAGCACTAGCCGAGCCTCGAAGGGCAGAAGAGGCCCTTCTGGAAAGGCTCAGAGCGTCTTCCTCAGCCCTCCTACCCGAACCCCCTCCTGGGAACGCACCTGATGGTGAGGGTGGGGCCTACTTATATGGAAACCTAGTTTGTTCATTTCACTTCAGAAAGTCTCACCCCATCATTGGCAAGCTCCGGAGGTCAATTACTTAGCCAAGAGCCCCAACCAGTCAAAGGGAGCCTGGTGATCCCAAGCGCTCGCATGCCCTCTCCCCAGCACCGGGATGTCTGTGGAGGGGCATCCGCTGCTCTCTGTCACCTCCAATTGGCCGTGGAGGAAATGAGGCCACGCGGACCCACTCCTGTCCCTGCTCAGGTTCAGTGGGTGCGGCCCCTGAGCTCCTGCGGCTGCGCACTCGGGGCTCTGTAACCCGCGGCGGGGTCCAGTCCCCGCCTTGGACCCTCACCCGGCGCCGTCCTTTGCAGGCCGCATTC